GGCCCAAATGACCCAACTGGCCCAAATGACCCAGCCGGCCCAAATGACCCAACTGGCCCAAATGACCCAACTGGCCCACATGACCCAACCGGCCCAAATGACCCAACCGGCCCAAATGACCCAACCGGTCCAAATGACCCAACCGGCCCAAATGACCCAACCGGCCCAAATGACCCAACCGGCCCAAATGACCCAAGCGGCCCAAATGACCCAACTGGCCTAAATGACCCAACCGGCCCAAATGACCCAACCGGCCCAAATGACCCAATTGGCCCAAATGACCCAACTGGCCTAAATGACCCAAATGACCCCGCTGGCCCAAATGACCCGACTGGCCCAATTAACCCTTCAAGCATTTATTATTCATGAAACTAACTAGCTGTCACGCTATCATTCCGCGATCGGCCGATGTCACGCAATTTTCGATAACCAGCACGCCAAGACATATTTTGGTTAACGGGCACACCAGGACACATTTTCGTTAACCTGTACACCAGGACACAACCAAAGCAATGCATTGTAGCCGCGTTTTTTTTTTTGTTTTCTTTTTTGTTTCTTAACTCGATCGTTCAGTACAGCGTTGAGAAGGACGACACAGTAATAGGAAAAGTTGGCATAGGCATAGGAAAACCCTGCGGCAAAAATTGTTAAGACCAGAAAATGCGCTGAGAAAAAAAAAAAAAAAGAAAAGGGATCGACAGACAGCTTCCAAAGTTGCAATTCTAGGCGATCTTTAATATTTGTGTATCAAGGCTGGTACTGTCATTAATGAAAAAATCTCGTTTTTTAACAAAATGTGTGACAAATTTTGGTTTGACGGCGACTTCTTTGTCCGAAACCTCCGGGACGCCACCTTGGAGCGTAATAGCTTTCACTTCCACGCCTTCGTGGAAGAGAAAGCTTTCTTTTCTTGACAGAATGGTTTTCTTTGTTAATTCTATGGGCCAAAGGACTTTTTGCTGCTCTTGATTTTTCCATGAGCAAGAGCTTCCACGTGAGAATTTTATCCAGTGCGCGATGTAAACAAAATATGCAAATAACATGAAAAATTAACCCCTTGAGAAGCTGTTGCGGCGAAAATTCACCCAGGGGACTCGCCCAGGTACGAGATTATGACACCTCCCTTGGATGCTTTTGGAGATTAAAAAATTGTTTGTTTGAAAACTTTGGGCAAAATGTTTGACCTCAACTTAGTAAAAAAAAAAAACAAAACAAAACAAGACAAAAAAAAAAGGGGAAAAACAGTTTTTTAGGCCTCTGAAAATGGAAAGTAACCTTACAGAAGGTGCGAACACCAGCTGTGAAATGAACAAAGCTGTTAACCGGCGGAAAGGAGTCAGACAACTTTTGTTGACTAGCAACTAAGGTGAGTTCAAAAGCTTTCGAATTCTTTTCGGTGGCCAATTCACATAATCAAGTGTTGTGAAAGCTTGGCGGGAAATTAATCGCCTCAGTAGTGAACCTCGCAATGTTACTGGTGCTTAAGTTTGGACTGAAAGTTTATTCGTTTAATTTTTGTTGCCCTCAAATTTAGAAACAACAGTGTTTAACATCTGGATGACTTCTACAATAAATTCTTTGCGAAAGTGGACAAAGACCTTTTGTTTGCTCATCATGCCACTATTTGGAAGTCGTGCATGCGAATATACAATAACTATCACTTTTTTCTTCGCACTTTAGAGTGTAAAGGGCCTTGATACTCCCCAAAAAGATCGTATCGGTGATAATTTAATGCTGCAACAGAAAAAGACCGGGAGATGTGGCTAAAATATACCCTAAAATATAACCATAGACACACGCTCCTAGTCAATGAACATGACACCGACTTGCGTGAAAGAGGGTGTCACACAATATCCCGGATCTTGATTGGCCAATCACGGCCGTGATTAAGCCACATGTGACCACAAAATCCTTCAGCAAGGCGAGTTTGGATGGAGGAGAAGTGAACGGGCGACCTTGGATGGTGAAGAAGTGAGCGGGTGAGTATTGAAAGTTATTTAGCTAATTCCTGTCTAACTGAAGTTATTTAAAATTAATATTCAAAGAGTCGATGGACATAAGTTTTTAAAGCCCTATTTTCTGAGTTTTTTAGATTCAAAACAGCCAATTTTGTAAGTCGAGGCGATTGCAATCTTTTTAGTGGCGTGTACGTGACGTTTGGTTCCCTTCTGTTTCAATTTTCACTTAATAATTCTATATTCGTGTACAGAAATCCTTATAAAGTATGAATCTTGTTTGACTCTGGTTGTCCGGTTCAGTGAAGTCTACGTTCTGCACGAGATATTTTGTTTGTAATTGTAGTCTTCGCTCACCATGTGCGCTTACTTCATCACTTTGACCTTTGCCAATTGTACGTGAGACTATGGAAAACCTGTTCGACTAGTGCTGTACCTTCAAATATTTGGAATCGACCGCAACAGTTTAGAGTTGTAAATGCTTCAAGGGTGCTTTTTCTTAGAAACACTTATTCATGAGTAAATTGAAATGGCTCTTGCTGTTAGTGAATATAATTCATATGATCTTTTTCTGCAGTCAAATAAAGTTACTAAAGGTGGCTGGTACCAGTTTTCATCTTTTTGATGGTTTGTAACTTTGAAAGAATACAACAAAAAGACTGACCAGGGCCAGTTGAACACTTTTACAGGGTTAAATTATATAATCATTGGCTATCCGAAAATAGATGTCATTTCGTCACTAGCAGTTTCCATAGCAATGCTTTCAAAGGATTATTCAGACGCATTTTTTAGCTTGTGGTTCAAATAACTTGAAAACTAACTCGGTGACCCTTTGATTTTTCTTAGTGATTGCTTTGGGCATTTGAAAAGAAAAATGCACAAAGATTCTAAAAAAGTTATACGGAATGGAATTTCAGAAAATCTAGAAAAAAGGCAATTTTCACGCGTCGCAAATGTCCTTCCATAGAATTTTCTAGTTTTATTTCTGACGATTCCTTTCAACATTATTATCATATTGGAACAGAAAAAAGAAGGGGTCACCGGAGTTGTTTTCATGCAATAGCTTTCGTGAGTTTAGAAATTTCCACGCGCGTTCTCGCGCATTTAAAAATCTGGATTCTATAAGATTGACATTTGCTCATGATATGTTATAGCTACTGCTGACTATCGCATGTGTTTGTGCGAGCACCTACGATCTTATGTTTACAAATGTTTGCTGCTTAGAGAATCATTCAATAGCCATCAAAGACAGCCTCCCGGGCTCATCTTAAAGGACCTACTCACAACTTCTGGCTATATTATATTACTTTCCTTGAAGTTTCACAGTCGTCTTCCACTTAAGGCAGATTATCCTTCACTTGAGTTCTCCTTTTTTTGCCGTCGCAAGATTTCATATTGGTTGGATATTTTGTTTAGATGTGAAGCAACCTTTGTCTCAAGGAATCGTCATCTTTATCTTATTTTCTGTCTCCTGCATATGCAGCGGCCGTTCAACACATTAAATACACGCTGTAAGGTAAACTTCTTACAAAAGTAGAAAAAAGCCTCACACCACCATCTTTGTTTTGAATTTTCGTCTTTTGATCTTGCGCTTTTTTTGCACATTTCTCTTGCGCATGACGCAAGAGTGACCTGTTCCCTGCGCGAGGAAACTAGTACTAGCCACCTAAAGAAGTATGTCAGTTGATAGTGTTCTTGTCTTTTAATGCAGCTCTCTTTTGAAGTACAGAGTCTTTAAGAAAATGACAGGAAGGGCAAGGGGAAGATCTCGCGGTCGGGGGCGAGGTGGAGGAGATGGGTCACGGCCCGGAGATTGTGCTCAACGTGTGGCTCCTGAGCAAGTACCAGTGGTTGTTGGACGTGGGAGATCCCGAGGTCCCCCATCAGGCCAAATATCACAGCCACAGCGACCCGTTGCACCACCTACGGAGGCCATGGCCGGGATGAGTGTAAAAGAACAGAGACCTCCTGTGCAGAGTGTGTCGGGAGCAAGAGAACAGAGACCACGGTTATCAAGAGATGTAGACGACAATGTTGTTACAAAGCCAGCCCACCTTATTGACAAAATGGGAAACACCGGATCAGGCATAGATTTGGTGACCAACCACTTCAAACTAAAAACGAAAACAAATTTCGGGGTTTACCAGTACACTGTCAGCTTTAATCCTGAGGTAGAGGCAAAACGTGCTCGTGTTGCGATGTTACGGAGCAAGAGTGATCTACTTGGGCAAGTTCACGCCTTTGATGGCATGACTCTTTATTTGCCAACTCGCCTTTCCGAAGTCGAAACAAGGTGTAATATTACTCGGCCACAAGGAGATGTTGTTCAAATGGCCATCAAGTTTACAAATGAAGTTCCCCCAGATTCTCCATCTATGCTGCAGTTGTACAACATAATATTTCGAAGGTTGGTTAAGTTTTCCATTGATTTGTTTGGTTTTGATGTTGTATGTTTTGTTCATAGGTTGACGGCAGGTTATCAGCCAAGGTTCAGTCATGCAAGAAACCCTTTATTATTGTAGCCGTTTGTTATGGTAACTTAGGAAATCCACCTATGAAGCTTGACTAATTGACTAGGAAATTGAAGATCCCCAATCACTAAAAGTGAAAAATCTCTGCTGACTAATGCAACCGGTCTTGAAGTAAATTTTTTTACATATGCTGAACACAGGAGCTTTTATGCAAAAGGTTTTCAACAATTAACTGCAAGTACCTAATAATAAAACATATCAGGACTGTCCATCTTATCATCAGGGCAATGTTGTAATTTCTGGTAATTTTTCAAGGGTGTACATAAACTTTTGAAGTGGAATAGCACTTGCTTTGAGTAGGCAGGATACCCTGTAACCAGGGGGGTCTGGGTGCATGCTCCCCAGGGAAAATTTTTTAAACCTCAGTCTCCCCTGCAATTTGGAAAAGAAATCTTTGTTTTGCAGTCATGGATACTTAACCTAATTGTAGTAAAAAATATTCTATTCTAGGATAATTTTTTGTATTTCACTATACAGTTATTGCAACATATCATAACGCTGCTTAACTTCTTAAAGTGGTACTGGAGGCTAACTCAACCTTTTCAGAATGTTTTTATTTTCTCACATCTAAAACATTATTGTTTAAGTAAACTATTTGCAAAATTTGATGATTGGAAAACATGCTGTTTTTTATTCCAGAGTGCGATTTGGAAAGAGCTGTTCAGTGGCCGACATTTTATATTTTCTAAGCAATGGAAACACAATTGTTTTAGTATTTTTAATAAAAAAAATTATGATATTTTCAATTTTAAGGCACATCACAACTATAACCAAGTGAATAACTACATATTCTATTTTGTCACATGACATTTAATAGATAATTGTGACTTTGAAATGCTTCCGCCACATGTATTTTTGTGGTTCTTGGTGACACACTTTTCTTCTTTTCACTTCCCAGCCAAATGACGTCAATTTCTTTAAGTAATGGAAAGCCTAAGACATTCACTGCAACCTCTACTTTGGTATTGCTTTTCCATCTCTAGCTTATGCAGAGCATGAGTGCCAAAATTGTCTCAACAAAGGATAGGTGTCATTGCTATGGAGAGTATCAATGTTTGTGGTCTCATGTTCTGATAGGTTTTGTGGGAATAATAGCAAGACAAATAGGGTGATTATGACCATTTATCGCCTTGATTTAATGAACTTCTAAATAGCAAAGTTCTCGGTATAATGAACGATACCAAAACAAAAACCACCCTCAGATAAGCAGCACCCTGAATTAAGTAGCTCAAATTTTGGAAATCAGAAGAAATCCAAAGTCAGTCTTGAGAAGTCTTCTCCATCCACTGTTCATCAAACTTGAACTCGTTATTAACATTGCAACGGAAAATAATTCAGTCTTACCCACAATTTTAGCACTTCAGTATGATGAACATCGTCTCAACCAACTTTGACATATGGCTGATCCATTTCTGGTGTTTGTTGACAGGAATTTCTTCATTCAACTGTTTTTGATTTTTGCATTACAACAAGAACATGAGCAGACCAATCGAAGCTTAGTAACCAGGCATTACATTGTACACAAAAAAAACACGACATCCTTGACACCTTTTTCAAATGTTCCCGCAGTTTAGCCGCACCCCCAGTTTCTAGTGATGATTTTGGAAAAAAGGTGCGGCTTATCTGCGATTTTTTACGCTACTTCAGTTCCAGCCCCGCTAAAGTTACAGTGAATTGTATGAGATACAATGAATATATGAAGTTCATATATTTTGAACTGCGGTATTAGATACGTATAATGCACGATCCTCGCAGTAGATAGCTCTATCTATGCAATAGCGAAAATCAGACCTGGAAAAAAAAATCAGGCCTGTACGGGACTCGAACCACTGACCTCTGCGATACTAGTGCAGCGCTCTACCAATTAAGCTAACAAGCCAACTGGGAGCAGGCCATTAAGTTGATTTGTAATAAACCCGTGAAAGTGATAAATAAGATACAATGAATATATGAGGTTCATATATTTTGAACTGTGGTAGTAGATACGTATGATGCACGATCCTCGCAGTAGATAGCGCTATATATGCAACAGCGAAAGAAAATATATGAACTTCATATATTCATTGTATCTCATTTATCACTTTCACGGGTTTATTACGAATCAACTTAACGGCCTGCTCCCAGTTGGCTTGTTAGCTCAATTGGTAGAGCGCTGCACTAGTATCGCAGAGGTCAGTGGTTCGAGTCCCGTACAGGCCTGATTTTTTTCAGGTCTGATTTTCGCTATTGCATAAATAGCGCTATCTACTGCGAGGATCGTGCATCATACGTATCTAATACCGCAGTTCAAAATATATGAACTTCATATATTCATTGTATCTCATTTATCACTTTCACGGGTTTATTACGAATCAACTTAACAGCCTGCTCCCAGTTGGCTTGTTAGCTGAATTGGTAGAGCGCTGCACTAGTATCGCAGAGGTCAGTGGTTTGAGTGCCGTACAGGCCTGATTTTTTTCAGGTCTGATTTTCGCTATTGCATATATAGTGCTATCTACTGCGAGGATCGTGCATCATACGTAGTGAATTGTATGCTACAGAACCTCTATATAGCAAACCCTATATATAACGAACCAATTTCCCCAGTCCTTTGGCACTTCGTTAAATCAAGGTTCCACTTCATTTTTTGTTTTACTGCTACAGCTACATGTCACTCGCTTTTACACAATGGCATCTGAAGGAAGAAAATTAAACATTGTTACTGTGACAAAGAAATTGCAGCTTTTTGCAAATTAATTAGTGCTGCTACAATTGTGTCATGCCATTGCAAAAGCATTATCTCCGGAAAGATTAATTCTTTTGATCTGAAACTTGGCAAACCAAAACTGCATATGACAAGGAAAGTTTTCATCGCAGTCTGTCATAGTCTGAAAATGAGAAAGTATTGGATCTCAACCTTAATGTTTTTTTTTTTTTATCTTTTGACAATTAAATTGTCAAAATAAAATTTTTTTTTGGGTGGACTGTGGTGAAAATCTGTTCTCTTTATGCATATGCCAAACCTTTTTGAAACTTTTAAGAGGCTCTGATTTAGAGAAGTGTTTCTTCAAAATGACCTTTTGGACATGATTCCATGAAATTCCACAAAGTTCATGCCACCTAGCACAATATTGTTTTTCCTCCAGATTATATCTTAAATCATGTGTGAAAATTGGAAGTCGCTGCAACAAATATTTTATTCTCAAAATTGGCGAAAATTGACCAAATTGGCCTATGGTACCACCTTGAAGCCTCCTCTTTTCTTACTGTTGCAAGTTAACTTAAACTTGTAAGGTGTGAAACTGCGAGATTTCACGGTTTAAGTGACGATCTCTGTAAGAGCAATCCGGGTCAATTTGCATCAGAACAAAGTTTTCCCTGAAACTTTTCCCTACTAAACTATTTTTGGTAGTAAGAAAATAAAAGTGCGTTAGTTTCTGGAAAGATGCCAAAATAACATTTTTAGAGCTGGATGGATAGATGGCTTAGATGACCACTCCCCATGGGGCTTTTTCAGGCCATTCTGACAACACTGTGCAGGGGACTTTGCCAGACTGCTAGCAGCAGTTTTCAACGAATCAAAGATGCCCCCTCCCCCCAGGCAATTCCCAGTAAACAGGCTAGACCACATCACAGTAATCTCACGATGCAAGTTCTTTAATGTCCCCTGCAGAAATTAACTAATTGATAGATGCAGGAGACGGGACCTCCAGCTTTACGTCCTATCTGAGAAGATGAAGCCCCAGCCATCTCACCCAAAGTCCAGTGCACTGACCACTGGACTACAAATGTCTCGCAATAATCAGCTGCAAAAGGCCCTTTTTTACAGAGGCCTGCAACTGTCACAGCTAAAGAAATAACCTTGCAGCAAAAGGAAGAACCTGACAGCAAAAGAATTAACCTTGCAGCAAAAGTAAAAACCTCATGGCAAAAAGAAACATACCAGTGCCTAAAGAAAAAACCTTGCAACAAAAGAAAAACCCCAGGGCAAAAAGATTCTTTTTGCTGTGGAAAACTTGAAAATAATTAAGGACACCTTGAGTTTTTCTTTTACTTGCCATCATATTAATCAATGGATCCACGGAACAAAGGTGCTTTCAAATGTGCAAGAGTCATGTGATAGCTCAACGGGCACTTTAGGAAGAGATGTTCCTGGAAACACGATTTGTGTAGTGCCTTTCTCATTTAAAGAAATTTAATTTTCATGATTTTTTGGCAATTTAATGCAGAAAAAAGATGTTAAACCTATGGGGAAGAGTTGATGTTTAGTTGAGCTTAATCATTTTTTTCTCGCCACTTTTTTTTTAGTAGTTTGTTCTTGAAAGTTGCTGCAAGCAGCAACAAAATTGTCGATACATTTGCCATTTCAACCCCCCTATTACTTCAATTTAATCTCTTTGCCCTCATTTGGTTTACCCACTTGCTCCCTTCCCCAGATGCATTGTGATTCCATGAACTTTTAGCCAACATTGAACGGGGGAGGGGGGCTGTCAAAGATCTACCGCGAGGTAGAAACTAGAATGTTATTCTTCACATAAATAGAACTCGTACGACAAGATGTGTCAACTAATTTTGACACTGATTGTCTGAGACTGTGAAAACAGATGGGTGCCAATATGCAGGGCTTCTCTTTAAAATACCACTTATCTGTTTGTTGCAGGATTCTAAAGAACATTGGTATGCAGCAAGTTGGGCGGAATTATTACAACACCTCACAGCCAATTGTAATTCAAAAGTTTGGGTAAGCAAGTATGGTGCATGTTAATTGCAGTCATCTCAAAGAGTTGAACAAAATTTTGAATGAATTTGCAACAAGTCTTGCCCGACAGTTAAGAAGTAAGTTTGAGTATATACCGCTCAGGTGAACAATGCTCTTTGCGCTAGTTGGGAAGTGAGTAGCAAATGTGTTGAAAAGACAGGATTTTACTGTTTGAATGAGCAACTTATGCTGAAAAGAGCAGCAACAAAATGAGGGAATGTAGGAATGTGGATTGGCAGAATTGCAGAATATCTCAAGATGTAGAGAGATGGAATATCCTAAAACAAAAATCTCAAAAAATTGAATTGCATTAAAATTTTAAAAAATGTTTCCAATTAACTGGCAAAATTAAAAGATTGGGTAATCACTTTTTGGAGCAAAGGGATGGGGGACCCATGAGGCTTTCGAGTTAATCCCTTTAACACATTGACACCTGAACCGCCCAAACCTCGTGATCGCCTCGTGTGAGAACGTTTTCCCCCCTACCTCCCATACTAAGAGGAGTTTTGTCCCCAAACTTCCTCTATAGTTTGGAGGTCAATAAGCCAATCAGAATCCGTTGTTTGTGCATATATTTTTTCGACTTAAGGGGGTACTAAAGGGGCATTACTCTATGCGTCTTCACTAAATGATCAAATTTGAAAATATGGCGTCCACGCGGCGGACCCTCAAAATTTTCAGGTCGGATTTTTCGTTCATTTGTGATAGAGTTAGACCTTGTGGAACTCAGAATGTAAAGTAACAATGCTATAGAATACTCTGCTTGGAAAAGAATGGATATCCAGGTCTTAAAAAGTGACAGAATAAGCTCTCAAGTCAACGACACTACGATTCTCTAAGGCGATGCAAATTATGGATGTAAAGTGAAAACCGAACTTTCGGACTTCAAGCAGGGCCTGGCGACAATTTGATGACTCGATGGTCCGGTAAATATTATGTTCGAGTAACAATGTGTTCAAAAAGTATAGTTTAATAGAAGATTTTGCCTCAAATCGAAGTTTTTTCAGAATTTTCAACATAACGCTGGGCAATTTCTGGCCATGAAGGCAAGTAAACAACGATCTAAGCATGATGAATTTTACCTTGTGGGCTTTGTACACGTAAGAAATTTGTACGTTTTTCGCTTATAACAGCAAATCAAAAACTGTTTTGAATAAATCTGATGTCCCGAAATATTTCTTGGCCATTTTAGTCTTGCTTCCTATTGATAGATTCCATGGAACTTGAGATCTCTTTACTCACGGACAACTTTGCATATTCCCTTTTGAAATATGATCCACATGCCCATTTTCACACATGCGAAAATATTTAGCGATTTTTATCTTTCATCTTGATTTTTGAGTTAAAACGTAATATGCACCTATCGCTTTTTTCGCCAGAAATAAGTTCTTTAATTAGTCCTCTTTCACTGGAGCTTGTTTTTTGGAAAAGCTGATTTTTAAAAATTTACTGCGCATTGTGTTTGCCTTCTTGGTTTCTCCAAAATTTTAACTTTTCGTCGGCACGTGTTACACGTAAGTGTCAATGGGTTAAATTAGTATTATGTTGCTATTATCTTTGTAAATATTATTATTTGTTGCCATTTCAAGTATTAGTTGAATGTCAATTTGACAATATATTCTTGAATCATCCTTTTCTTGTGGAACAGGGTATATCTAACAATTATTCCACGAACGCGCGTTGGATATGAGATGATAGATAGCCAACGAGGCGTGTAGCGCCAAGTTGGCTATAATCATCTCATATCCAACAAACGCGAGTGGAATAATTGTTTTATTAAAAAAAACGCCCCCAAGATATTAGACAAATCTTCTCGACTTTATTTTGTATGAAAAAGCCGGATGTTGCAATGTCCAGTTATTAGATTATGGTATATTGGCTCATATACCATAATGGCTAAGCCAATAAAAAGTCTTGAATTGCATTATCCAATGACTCAGTTTTTAATAAATATGTATGTACATGAGAGGTGGCAGGTTTTCTGTTTTGCTTGAGAGACAAGTATTCTGAAACACTATCTCATTATACAACCTCCAGTTCTTTTCAGTGCTTCAAAAGTTGTGCTAAACCAAGTGGCCACACGCAGTCTTTGACTGTCTTTTTTTTCTCTATTTTTGTTTGTTTGCTTTTCAGCCACCAAAATTTCCTTTTAATAATTGATCTCGTGTAATGGCCTCCCTAGTAAGGTTTAACACTAGGATCAAATTGTGGTTTTATTTCATTTTGTGAACACATAATGGGACAGTTATTTTGGGAATTCTTGAATTTATTTCAATAGACACATCTTCTGACAACAATTTTAAGGGTTATCAGAACCTAGTTATCCAGTATTATATCAAATATAAGTCGTAGGAAGTAATAGTATTAACACATTGACACTTGAACCACCCATAACCGTGCGATTAGCTCATGCAAGAACACTTTTCCCCCTACCTCCCCTACTAAGTAGAGCTTTGTCCCCAAACTTCCTGTATTGTTTGGACATCAGTGAACCAATGAGAATCTGTATTTGTGCATATATTTTAATGGCCTTAGGGGGTACTAGAGGGGCATTATTCAAGGCATTTTCGCTAAATGATCAAATTTAAAAATATGGTGTCTGCGCGGCCGACCCTCAGAATTTTCAGGTCGGATTTTTCGTTCATTTGCGATAGAGTTAGACCTTGTGGAATTCAGAATGTAAAGTAACAATGCTATAGAATACTCTGCTTGGAAAAGAATGGATATCAAGGTCTTAAAGGTGACAGAAAAAGCTCTCGAGTTAACGACACTACGTTTCTCCAAGGCGACGTGAATTATGGACGTACAGTGAAAACCGAACTTTCAGACTTCAAGCAGAGCCTAGTGACAATTTGACGATTTGATGGCCCAGTAAATATTATGTTCGAGTAACAATGTGTTCAAAAAGTATTGTTTAATAGAAGATTTTGCATCAAATCGAGTTTTTTCAGAATTCTCAACATAACACTGCGCAATTTTCTGGCCATGAAGGCAAGTAAACAATGATCTAAGCATGATGAATTTTACCTTGTGGGCTTTGTACATGTAAGAAATTTGTACGTTTTTCACTTAAAACAGCAAATCAAAAACTGTTTTGAATAAATCTGTCCTCCAATCAATCAGTCAAAGTTTATTGTCTAACGTGAGGCATGGTTGTCCGAGCCAGAGGCTCGTGTATAAAACGGTAGACTATAAATTAACTATAATTAAAGGTATATTATTAGAAGTACTTAAAACTTTATAGGTAAAAATAAGTTTAGAGTATGAATGATAATTGTAAATTTGTAGGTGATTAATATTGATAGTTAAGAGTCTAAACATGTTCAGTGAAAGATACTGCATTAGATGAATATGAATAAAAATGACAATGTATGTGTATGTACATTAAAAGTCAAATACATGTATTACATTTACAGATTGATCCTAGAGTGCTAAAATCGAAAGTCTTAAGTTTACTACAGAAATTGCTAAGCTTAGATGCTGTTTTAATTTCTCTAGGTAAACTGTTCCAATGGTGACTAGCTTTATATGTAAAGGAATTATGATACGATCTATTATTATACCCTGGTTGCACTAGATTTACACCTTTATTCCTTAAACTATATCTAGATTCCCACAATTGAAAAAAGTTTTTAACATATTCCGGACCGTTCCATTTCATACATTTAAAAAGTAAAACCAAGGAAATATAAAATCGCCTATGTTCTAGAGTTTTCATGTTGCTTTTAGCTAAGATTGTATTGTAGTTAACACTATTGCCGAGATTAAGCAAAGTTTTGAGTGCGTACTTATTGACTGACTCCAGTTTAGAGCTCAGTGTTTTATTTATTCCAAGCAATAGTGGACTACAGTACTCCAGGTGAGGAAGTATGTAAGCCTTATAGAGTGTTAGGGAGACATCTACAGGCATAAGTTTTTTGAGTCTCCTAAGGGTACCAATCTTCACATAGACTTTTTTATGACACTCTGAATGTGATCAGCAAATGTTAACTTGTTGTCAATTGTGACCCCAAGGATTTTGAGTGAGTTAGATGAGTCGACTCTAGAGTCACCAATGATAAATTGAGGGTCGTAAGCAATATCTCCAATCATCATAGCTTGGGACTTTATGTTGTTGACTTTATGTTGTTGACTTTATGTTGTTGACTTTGTTGTTGACCTTAAGTCTTGCCTCCTATTGATAGATTCCATGAACTTGAGATCTCTTCACTCACGGACAAATTTGCATATTCCGTTTTGAAATTTGATCCACATGCCCATTTGCACACATGCGAAAATATTTAGCAATTTTTATCTTGAACCTTGATTTTTGAGTTAAAACGTAATATGCACCTATCGCTTTTTTCGTCGGAAATAAGTTCTTTAATTAGTCTATCATAGGAGGCAAGACAATAATGACCAAGAAATAGTTCAGGATGCCAGATTTGTTCAAAATAGTTTTTTATTTGCTGTTATAAGCGAAAAACATACGAATTTCTTACGTGTACAAAGCCCACGCGGTAAAATCCATCGTGCTTAGATTGTTGTTTACTTGCCTTCATGACCAGAAAATTGTGCAGTGTTATGTTCAAAATTCTGAAAAAACTTTGATTTGACAGAAAATCTTCTATTGAACAGTACTTTTTGAACACATTGTTACTTGAACATAATATTTACCAGGCCATCGAATCGTCAAATTGTCACTAGGCCCTCTTGGGACAAAAACCACAAGCTCCATGATCTGCTGCCTCCATGCAACGAGTCCACCTATTGCATCCGCAGCCAGAGATACTTCAAGCTACTGATTTGTAAGACAAATAGGTTCAAAAACACATTTATCATGGCGAACAGTTTTAATTATTAGTGGCTATTTTAATTATTTGTATTTTGGTGTTTGATACTTCTCTTATTGTATTTTATTGTAGATTACATTTTGTGGCTTTTATTGTAGTTATCCTGGAGTAAGAGATAATTTATTCCCATTGTAAAGTAAGTCATATTTCAGCTGGCCCGGGGGCTGCTATGATTTTACTTCCTAATAAAGCTATCTATCTATCCTTGAAGTCCAAAAGTTCGGCTTTCACTTTACATCCATAATTTGCATCGCCTTAGAGAATCGTAGTGTCTTTGACTCGAGAACTTATTCTGTCACCTTTTAAGACCTTGATATTCCATTATTTTCCTAGCAGAGTATTCTATAGCATTGCTACTTTACATTCTGAGCTCCACAAGGTCTAACTTGATCGCAAACGAATGAAAAATCTGACCTGAAAACTTTGAGGGTCAGCCACGTGGACATCATACTTTCAAATTTGATCATTTAGTGAAGACGCATAGAATAATGCCCCTCTAGTACTCCCTAAAGCCATCAAAATAATTGTGCAAACGGTGGATTCTGATTGGTTTATTGATCTCCAAACCATAGAGAACACATGTCTAAAACATTGTGCCCTTATCAAAAACAATATGCACTAAAAACATTTACCAGATGAGGGTAATTTTTACCCGAATTGACCAATCAGAGTACTTGGTTTGTTTCAGTTTCCCGCCGGGTAAAGTTTACCCTAGTGGGGTAAACTTACCATTAGCAATTCACTCGTTAGAGCCCTTCTATGGGCTGTATTGACGCAAAATAATTACATTCTTTCGATTGTGCCTTCTTAGAATCAAATTTCGCGATTTGGAGTTGAAAAAGGTGCAAAACCGATCAGCTTATATCTAGGATGGCGCACTTTCGGATTTGTCGGGATTCGAAAATTGACACTCCTTTGTTCACAGAGTCATGTTTGTTTTACCTTTATGATAAAGTATTGTTGACATGAGGATGGAGGACGGAAGTGGTTAATGGCCTATGCTCCAACCGGAGCTAAGGGAATATATATATTGTTGACATGAAGGTGTTTTATTGACAGGTTTTAGGTGACAAGGGTTGCTTTCCATTCAACAAAAATCACGGGTTCAAAATGTCGGTATTTTCGCTGGCTGAATGGAATGCGTCTGACCGTATCTGAGAGGGTACACTAAAAACGTATTCCTAAATTTTCGAAAACTTATCGCAGAACTTTTCCTGTTCCATTCGATTTCTGACCAGAAATCTCGAAAATTTTGGTCAGATGGAAAGCGCCCACCGTGACACATGCAATCTTTAACCATCTTGGTGACACATGTAATCTTTAACCATCTTGGTGCCACGTCACGCTCTGAAACCTGCTGAGATGTTTGTTGATTCAACGAAAGAGGAATCAACAAACTGTCACTGTAGCCTAAACCATTTTTAAGTTCTGGAATTATTCTATTTCTAAAATGTCATATTGGAGAACGAGGTGACGAGCGTGTACGGCACTTTCTAATTGCCATTGTTTTTTACTTCCTTTTGTTGACTGCTCGGACAATAGTCGAAATAATAGAATAACTGGTAGTTTCAATGTCAAAGTGGGTGCCGGCGTCAGAGCTTGAAGGAAATACTGATAAAACGACTTGAAATGAACGGTATAATACGGGTTGGTGTGGGTTTTTAAAAGAGAATTACGATTTTTCCAACTTGTTCAGTTTTAAAGGGCTTTTGTGAAACAACAACAGAGCTGCCCGAAATTTTTTTCTTGAGTTAAGAAAAGAATGTTTACTCCGAATGGCACCATTTTTGACTAACACTTCACTGCTGCTGAATTTACTGAGAAAAAAATATTTCCATGACTATATCTTGGCAACTCCACTCGCGAATCAGCAAAAATTGTGCGCATAATAGAGCACCCAAACACATAAAAATCTCATGTCCTCTAGGAGTCATAACTTTAACGCGGATGTTTTCTTTGCTGCGTGACGAGACAGCAAGATGTTTACAGATTACATGTGTCACGTTTTTTGCAAGCGAAACGCTGGGCACCTTACATTACAGTTCAACTTGTTGATTATTCTATTGATTTCGTAAAGAAAAGGAATTTTGGAAAGGAAATTTTTGTGGAGGCTCGAGGATCCATCATGATCTTCCAAGTTACGCTGCTAAAGTCGCTGGATAGAATGCTTTAATGAGATTACACACCTGATACTTTGATACGTGAGTGTAGATTACTTAGTTCGATAAATACGCTCTCGAATTCGCCAGAAACACTCTTCGAAAAATCTGGAAATAAAGATTTTAAAAAAGTAGGGTTTTGCGACTACATCAGAAGTAAAATGTGACACCACTCTGCAATATTCGAGTAGTTTCTCAGGAAGGAAGAAATGGCTAAACACACATGGTTTCTTTGGTGCGTGACGTGGCACCAAGAAGTTCACAGATTACAAAAGTCATGTGTCCATAGTTAGTATGTGTCACGTTTTCTTTGAGTGAAACACTGTGCATCGTACATTACAATTCAAAATGTTGACTGTTTTATTGATTTTCTTTAAGAACGGAAAGAAAAGGAGGACATTGTCGTGGCGTCCCGATGATCGATTGCGAGGGTGTAAGTTCGATGCTAACTAGGTCGCTAACGTCAAGAAGACGCGCGCTAGGATTGCTGAAGGATTATATTACACGCTTGATTTGCTATTGTATAAACTTGTCACCTAGGAGTGTCAATTTTCGAATCCCGACAAATCCAAAAGCGCGCCATCCTAGATATAAGCTGATCGGTTTTGCACCTTTTTCAACTCCAAATCGCGAAATTTGATTCTAAGAAGGCACAATCGAAAGAATGTAATTATTTTGCGTCGATACAGCCCATAGAAGGGCTCTAACGAGCGAATTGCTAATGGTAAGTTTACCCCACTAGGGTAAACTTTACTCGGCGGGAAACTGAAACAAACCAAGTACTCTGATTGGTCAATTTGGGTAAAAATTACCCTCATCTGGTAAATGTTTTTAGTGCATATTGTTTTTGATAAGGGCACAATGTTTTAGACATGTGTTAGAGGAAGTTTGGGGACAAAACTCTAATTAGTAGGGGAGGTAGGGGGGAAAGCATTCTCGTGTGAGCCAATCGGGTTGTTACGGGCGGTTCAGGTCTTGATGTGTTAATTAAATACTCCTCAAAAAGTCCTTAAATTCAACTCTGAAATTCCTGCACGAACCCTGAGAATTTGAACGTACCTGAGCATTTACTATAACCAAAACAATAATTCACTGCATCAATAATCTTCACTGTGCCTGAAGCAAATATTTGTTAAATGTATTTACAGCTGCTTGTAAAGGTTTCACTCTTGAGTTTTAAGATATTGTTTGCTCAAATCAATTTTAATTTTACCCAGGTTGGAACTGTGGCCTGGTTATTCAACCTCAATCTTGCCATATGAGACCGACTTTCTATTGTCAGCAGATGTCTCTCATAAAGTGCTAAGAACAACAACTGTTTTAGAGTATCTTTATGAGCTCTATGAGCGCTATGAGCGCACGGGTCGAAAAGGTGATTTCCATGGAGAAGCCACAAAGAAGCTTGTAGGCCAGATTGTTCTGACAAGGTATTGTGAAATGCTTCACAGTGATTAAGTGTACAGTTAACCTAAATTATCCTGATTTGTTATTATCTGGACTCTCTCCCTTGTCCATTCTTTTCTTGTGATTAATAGTGATTAGTCACATTTGAGATCCATAACATCCTTTTTCCCATTAATCAAAGCAGATGCATTGAAACAATGCTGAGGTTATTCCTTAATGCAGCTTCAAAGAATGCTTAAATTAGGAATGTGCACACACTTGAAACAAACTAATTAAGGAAAAGCATTGTTGTAAACGTTTTTGTAAATACTTTTGCAAATTTTGGCAATTATGCACAGGGATTTGAGAGCGTCCTTCAAATCTTGTAGTTATTGATTAAATGATACACTTTTCGTCTTATTTTTGTTCATAATATTCACATCTTTGATTGTCTGGACTATTCAGCACAGTCCCCACCAGATAATTGAGGTCTGACTAACGTTTCCACAGAGAAACACAGGTTCAAGCACACAGAAATCTCAGAGAAAATCAAATTTGTCGTACTCGGCCAAAGTGGGAATGTCAGTTTGAATTTTTTTTTTTTTTAAATGTTGAGTTAAGAGTTTTTCAGGTGTCATTGTGTTAGCAAGATGTAAAGTTACCCTATGCAGTTTGCATATTAACCAGTGTCAACCACATATGAAAGTGGTAATGTGTCAGTTTCAAAGAGATGCCTTCTGTGATCTGTTACTGAACAGGCCCAGGGCAACATGGAATGTTGCTCTGGTTAGCTCAATTGGTTAGAGCACTGGACTGTTGTGCGGGAGGTCGATGGTTCGAGCTAGGGCTGGACCAACACTCAAGGTCTTAAAATAACTGAGGAGAATGTGCAACCTTTCTACAATATCAAGAAATGGATAGACTTTCTAGTCTTCTCGGATAAGGACGAATAAACTGTAGGTCCTGTCTCCTGCTTCTATTCATTGGTTAATTTGGTTAGGCAGGGGACATTAAAGAACCCACTCATGGGATTACTGTGATGTGGTCTGGCCTGTTTACTTGAATTGGGGGGGGGAGGGGGCATCTTCAAATAAGTTTCCTTTGATTGTTTGTAAACTGCTGATGCAGTCCGGCTAAAGTCCCCCGAAAAGTGTTGTGATGTGCATTTGATCATATCCACATGTTAATTTGCACAATATAAATATTAAATTATTATTATTATTATTAATCTATTGGTGTCTTGTGATAAAGAAGCAAATGTTTGTTAATGGTGACATTAACTATGCTTCTTTCCTCAAATCAATAGTAAGTGGGACCCAGTCAAAAGGTGTGATTGAGCTTATTATGTAAAGCCTCATGACTGGGGGAAGGAAACACTCAAATTACCAGGAAATCTGTGGTGTCTCCAATTATCTACATCTGAGCACTGCTTGCATTCTTCATTTCAGGTACAACAATAAGACATATCGCATAGATGACATTAATTGGGACCTATTCCCAAGCAACACCTTCCATGGAAGGTTTAAGGGGGAAGAGAGAGACATCACCTACAAGGAATATTACCAAGAGGTACAGTTTTAGTGATTACTGTATTGTTTTAAACTTGTGTTTGTTTTGCTCGGAAGCACAATCCAGGGGTACAATTGTGTATCATGGGCTTAACACATTGACACCTGAGCCACCCGAACCTCGCAATTGCCTCGCGCGAGAATGCTTTTCCCCCCTACCTCCCCTACTAAGTGGAGTTTTGTCCCCAAACTTCCTTTATAGTTTGGAGGTCAATAAGCCAATCAGAATCCATTGTTTGCGCATATATTTTTTCGACTTTAGGGGGTACTAAAGGGGCATTACTCTATGCGTCTTCACTAAATGATCAAATTTGAAAACATGGCGTCCACGCGGCGGACCCTCAAAATTTTCAGGTCGGCTTTTTCATTCATTTGCGATCGAGTTAGACCTTGTGGAATTCAGAATGTAAAGTAACAATGCTATAGAATACTCTGCTTGGAAAAGAATGGATATCCAGGTCTTAAAAGTGACAGAATAAGCTCTCAAGTCAACGACACTACGATTCTCTAAGGCGATGCGAATTATGGACGTAAAGTGAAAACCGAACTTTCGGACTTCAAGCAGGGCCTGGCGACAATTTGACGATTCGATGGCCCGGTAAATATTATGTTCGAGTAACAATGTGTTCAAAAAGTATAGTTTAATAGAAGATTTTGCCTCAAATCGAAGTTTTTTCAGAATTTTCAACATAACGCTGCGCAATTTCTGGCCATGAAGGCAAGTAAACAACGATCTAAGCATGATGAATTTTACCGCGTGGGCTTTGTACACGTAAGAAATTCGTACGTTTTTCGCTTATAACAGCAAATCAAAAACTGTTTTGAATAAATCTGACGTCCCTAAATATTTCTTGGCCATTTTAGTCTTGCTTAAATTTTTCNTTGTGGAATTCAGAATGTAAAGTAACAATGTTATAGAATACTCTGCTTGGAAAAGAATGGATATCCAGGTCTTAAAAGTGACAGAATAAGCTCTCAAGTCAACGACACTACGATTCTCTAAGGCGATGCGAATTATGGACGTAAAGTGAAAACCGAACTTTCGGACTTCAAGCAGGGCCTGGCGACAATTTGACGATTCGATGGCCCGGTAAATATTATGTTCGAGTAACAATGTGTTCAAAAAGTATAGTTTAATAGAAGATTTTGCCTCAAATCGAAGTTTTTTCAGAATTTTCAACATAACGCTGCGCAATTTCTGGCCATGAAGGCAAGTAAACAACGATCTAGGCATGATGAATTTTACCGCGTGCATGGGTACTCGTAAGAAATTCGTACGTTTTTCGCTTATAACAGCAAATCAAAAACTGTTTTGAATAAATCTGACGTCCTGAAATATTTCTTGGCCATTTTAGTCTTGCTTCCTATTGATAGATTCCATGGAACTTGAGATCTCTTTACTCACGGACAACTTTGCATATTCCCTTTTGAAATATGATCCACATGCCCATTTTCACACATGCGAAAATATTTAGCGATTTTTATCTTTCATCTTGACTTTTGAGTTAAAATGTAATATGTACCTATCACCCTGAGATGTTGGGACATCTCAGGGTGTGAAACTAAATGTGTGCTCATTTGCAGACCTATGGCAAGGAAATTGGAGATATGGAACAACCACTCCTTGTTAGTCGACTAAAGAGAGAGGTAAGTTTATATATTTGTTCAGGGCTCAACACTGTTACGCCAACTAGTGGTTTTTGATTTTCACTAACCAGTTAGTAAACAAACTGAAATTGTCATAACATCTAAGATGTCACTAGTCACTTGGCTTGTAAGTTGAATAGTTAGTGTCAAGCCCTGTTTGTTCCCTTTGCAGTTATTGTGCTTACTTGCACAAGGCCAGTACGTATTTGGCCATTATGTTGTAAGTAAGATAGTCTTCACCTTAGAAGACTTGTGGATTTCAAAGTGAGAACTACTGAAAGTGAACAAGCAACCGAAGTTTATATTTACTGGGATCACATAGCATGATAGAAGACTATTTCCAATATGGTGGGGAAAGTGCCCTAGGTTGGTGAGTTTTTCATGGACAAGTTACCAATAACAACTGGGCAATGTAACTAGGTGTACTATCCAATACCAGTAAGCACACATCCTCTCACAGAGCTATTTTTTTAGGCGGGAAGGGGAGGTTGCAAATAAAGAGATATAGCTGGCAAATATTGCCTTAAATGCACTTTGCTGGCCTAAGAATTTAATATTCCTTAGATAAGTACTAAGGCCCCACTAGCTGAGAGCTTTTGCCTCTGGACTAAGAGCCCATTACAGGGGCTTTCCAGCCATTTAATCTTTTCTATCTCAAGCTTTACAAAAACCATGTGGATTATAATAATTCATCCTTGTGTAATTTGTGTGCTGAGTTTTTTTGCGCTAAACTTCCTTATTTCAGCCTGGACAGATGACCAGAATCCCTAATGGTGAACTTCTTCTGGTACCAGAATTGTGCTTCTTAACAGGTGACACACTGTTTAATAAGAAACCATTGAAGTTTTTAACTAGCCCCACTCACACAATCCCATAGAAAACCATAGCAAAAGCTGAAGTGTACAGGGCCAGACAGGTTGACACAAGCTGGTCCAGAAAAAGCTGTTTGGCCCTGCTGTTCTCGTATTGCTTTTTTGAAAAACTTAAAGGAAAACGGGAATGAGGAAAAGTCATCTTTTTTAAGGAATTGGGAGTTTCTTGTTCTAATTCCAGATTTTTTTTTGTGCTTGTGTGGCTGTGTGTGCCTGTCTATCGTGTCCTATTTAGGTTGAAATGTTCAACACTTAGTGGTCGCATAATAAAATGCTTATTGACTGAGTTTGCTTGAGATGAACAGAAAAATATTTGGCACTTGGTCATGAGACACAGACTTTGCTCAGTCCATACTTGACTTTGAGCCAATTATTCTTCTGTCCAGCTCTCCCACTCAGTCAATAAGTTCATATTACAATATATTGCTAGTTCATAAAATTGATGCAGATAAATGTTAGCTCCTCTTTTTTCCTTTTGTTGTTTGTGTAGAATATGGTAGTTATCATTTATTCTCTGCATTTGTTCTTGACTTCATCCCTGGAATGTTTTTCCTAGCATTGCTATAGTGTTCCTAGTTTTAATTATGAGGCAAACTCCCTTCAACAGACCATAGATAATCTTCCTGGTCCTTCAGCCTACGTTCAACATCTTTCTCTACCATGATCACAGTATTAAGGCCTATTGTTTTACCTGAGAAAAGTCTTGTATACTTTTTCCTTAATAGGGCTTACTGATGAGATGCGTAATGATTTTGGTATGATGAAGGATCTTGCAGTTCACACTCGTGTTGATCCCAAGGCACGCAATCAGTCCCTGATGAGGTTTATTAACTCAATAAAGAGGTACATCTGGTACAGTTGTGTAATTAGGATTGTGCATTTCTCCACGTGATGTGCATTATGTAGGTATCATCATAGGTGAAGTTTACTGACAATAAATGTACTTTTGGGAATACAAACATTCTATTGTTATTACTTTTTTGGTATTTTGGGTGCATTTTGTGAAATAGAATGGAGATTGTGGTAGGCTGGAATATATTTGTTCATATTTTGGACTGGTTTTTGTAAATTGATGATGCAGGCAACTCTTAGATCATGTGAGAATTTGCATACCCTGGCATTTCTGGAGATTGAATTTCTCATTTAGTGGACATATAGGAGGCAAAGCCTCATTAGAAGTTAAGAAAGAGTGAGTGTAACAATAGAATTCCAATCTTGACACAACTTTAACTCGATTTTTCCAATTGCTTTTATTTCATTATTTATTATTTTTTTAGTGTGTTAGTAGTTCAACATTCACACTCAACATACAGTTGAGTTCTCTCCTTTTTTTTTATTTCTTGATGTACAGCCACTAGCACATTGTGTTTCCAGTTCTTGCAGTGACACTATGTTTATAAGCAATAAACATCTCACAATCCATTTGAGTAGTGTGTGATTTAAAATGGCAGTTTTCCTTGTGGAAATATCATAGGTGTGCATCATAAGAGTTGGGGGAAAATTTTTTTCCTCTCAATTGAGAGCATTTTACCATTAAAGGTAGCAAATTATGTAGATCCAACAGTGATCTTTTCAGTTCTTGCTGTACATGACACTACAGAAGATGAGAAACCTCTGAAAATAATTTCACAGTGGAACAGGGGAATGGTGACTTATCAGAAGATGCAAAATGATATAATGTCCTAAAACATAGGCTCAGAAATGGAATTGCCTTAAAATAAAAAAAGCTACTTCCAGTGAACCAGGGAATTTTAAAGAAGCATTGGTAATCGTTGTTGTGGCCCAGAGGAAAGGGAAACCATGGGGCTTTCAAGCTGGTCCCTTTAAATTATTGTTCTATTAATATTGTTCTCATAAATATGTGGGATGTGGCAGGTTTTCTGTTTTACATGTGAGGCAAATATTCTGCACTGCTACCTTCTAGCTTTATGATACAACCTCAAGTTCTTTTCAATGCTACAAAAATTGTGCTATATTAGTAGCCACATACAGTCTTTGACTATCTATATATTTTTTATCATAGTTTCAATGGAAGTAGATTCAGTTTTACCAATGCGTTCCTTGGTGAAATTAAGAACCCCAAGGGTTAAATTAATTGGGGTTTAGTACATGTAGGTTGACAACCTTGAGCCTTGAGTAACACATTTTAATAATTGTGGTAATTTTCCCCATACAGTAATGCGGATGCATCAGCAGAATTGTCAGGTTGGAATTTAGAGGTAAGTATTTAGACATTAAAAGAAAATCATAATTTAGTATTTTAATGTAAAGGTAAGTTGTTTTTACATTGTGGCAAACATGGCTGAAAGAAAAACTTGGGAGTCCCCCACAAAGATTAAACCCAGACTAAGGGAGCTCAGGCTCCCACACCCTCCCAATGTTACTACTCCATTACAGCCAACCTCTTTGTGGGGAAGGCCATCATGAGGTTCCTAATTAATGCTTGCTACATGCTGTACAAATCAGAGAACATCATGTAAGCCAATATGATAATAGAGATGGTAAGTTGTAAGTTTGGTTACCACAGAAATTTAACTGGTCTAATTTTGTTTTAGCTAGTCGTTATAAATAGATAATGTATAGATATTTACAGTGTGTTGTGTTCGTTTTTCTTGTCTCTAAATTGAGAGTTATGTAAGGGTACACGAAATAGAAAGAAGTCATTTGGTTCATTTATTTTAAATGGTCATGTGACATAAATTTTAGTAAAATTGCACAAAATCTCCCTTCTATGAAACAATTTCAAGCAGTTGACAGTCAAATGCACCTACGTATACATCCTTAACCTATCTCTTCCTAAGTAGAGGATGGGTGGATGTGAAATTTCTCTTCCATATCTACTAGCAAAAGTTTTATTTTGTTTATTTTATAAACACCATAACTTAAGCCTTTACTGGCTTAAGTTGTGGTCAGTTTGTTGCCATTTGTTCCTCAGCCTGACAGTAAAATGAAAGGCTAGTTATGTGTCAGTCGCTCATTGGCAATATCAACACATGCATAAAGTTAATGAAAGTTTACATTTGTGAAGTTGCTGCTTTTTTAGTGCTGCGGATCCTTGTAGAACACCTCAGTTTATACCATGATTGGGTTTTCATTGTAGTTTGAGGACAAGACCCTTCAGATGTCAGGAAGAGTTCTTCCTCCAGAGAAGATTTTCCAGAAGAATAAGAGTGTGAGTTAAAGTTTGAGTTGCTTTTTCTATGAATATTTTTTCTTCAGATGGAGTTTCTTTTTCTACAGAAGCAGGAATTAGAAAGGCCATGCACCATGCACATATGGCACATAAGTAAAGGAAGTATCAAATACCCACTCAAGGGGCCTAAAATGTGCCTGAGCCATGTCTTTTCTAGCCCAGCCATCACTGCTGAGGCTCATATTTTTTAGAAATGGCCCATAACTTTTAAAAGCCAGGGGCTCTAGGCCCATATGTCTGTTTTTCGTTCCCAATCTCTGCAGAAGCCATCAATTTTTTCTGAATTTTTCCTTTTGCTTTCAGTTTTCTTATGAACCAAGGACTGCTGAATGGTCAAGAGAAATGAGGGGAAATCCACTGCAAAGCACTGTAAATCTGAACAACTGGACTCTTATTTACACCAATAGAGACAGTGGTAATGCAAAAGATTTTGCACAAACTTTGAGCAGGGTTTGCGGCCCTATGGGTATCCAAGTCTCAAAACCTTACGAGTAAGTCTCCATTTATGTTTAAGTTGTTGCCTATAACATATGTATGGATTTAGGGTGTAATGGCAAAGTCAAGGCTATGCTCTAAGGAAAATTGAATGGAGCCCAGTGCTTTGATACTGTGAAATCCAGGGTGCCCAGCATATGCGGCTCCATCAAAACGGCTGCTTCTGAAAACGTCTAAACTTTGCAATTTGTATTCCTAGTGTGCTTGATACGACGTATTGGTATTCTTTGCGACAAAAATCACTAAAACACGGTAGTTTGGAAAATATAGAATGCCGGAATTCGGAACCGGAATACTCGGAATTTCCAGAATGACCGAAAAATAACAAATTTAAAAAAAAAAATAAAAGTAAATAAATAAATAAGAACATTGATGATTAAAAATTAATGGTAAATTCAGAACTTGATTAAATAATTTAATACGAAAATTTTCTCTGAGGGTCCCGAAAAATAAACACTTACCGGCACTGTTCATGGAGATGCACGTATTAGAATTAAAAATAGTCAGCGTCAGGCCAGTTGCCCATACAGCCTAAGCGACGAAATATATCTACTTTCCTTTTCCCCTGGATGGGATGCTAGTCCATCACATGGTTACTCCCCGTTTTAAATTCTCCTCCACCCATTTACACATCTATCTGTCTAGCCCGGGCGCCATGACCATTAGGCCTGCACGCTTTTCCAGCCGGAACCATTGCAGAAGATTAAAAAAAATGCAATATTTCCAATTAGTTTAAAAGTCTCCGAACTATTACAAATTAATACTCTACCTTAAATAATTATTAACCACACATTGGGAGCTATCAAAGCAGCTACCGATAAGACCAGCCGTCTACAGTTAAAATTGAGAGATCGTCAGTTACGCGACACCTTTTCGCGTCTATTATAAATACCTTGAATATATACCTTTAAATATATATCTTGTACTGATGGATTCATCTAAACAGGGCTTACATTCAAAGGTATAAATGGGTGGAAGCGAATTTAAAACGGGAAGAAACCATGTGATAAATTGGCATCCCATCCTGGGGGAAGGGAGAGTAAAAATATTTCGTCGCTTAGGCTGTATGGGCTACTGGCCTGACGCAGACTTTTTTTCACTTCTAATACGTGCATCTCCATGAACAGCACCGGTAAGTGTTTTCCTTTTTTGGGACCCTCAGAGAAAAATTTCGTATCAAATTATTTAATGAAGTTGTGAATTTATCATCAATTTTTAATCATCAATATTCTTAATTATTTTTAAATTTACTTTAAATTTTTTTAAAATTTATTATTTTTCGGTCATTCCAGGTATTCTGGTTCCGAATTCCGACATTCCATGTTTTCCAAACTAAAACGCTGAAACACTGCTCGTTCAGTGTTTTTCTAAAACACTGAACGAGCCGACTATTTAAAGCTTATGTTCAGAGTTTTCTGTCATCGATTCTGTTCATCAATTATCCGTTTGAGAGACTGTATGCAAATTTGTTTCGCTTGAACCCATAAAAAAATTTGCATAGAGGCCGAACGAGCTTGCGTGACAGTTGAATTTTTTCATGGAGAGGGGGGAGGGGAGGGGAGAAGGAGAGGAAGTATGCGGTCTCTCTCTATAATGTGTCACTTTGGGGTAGCAAATCTCTCTTTAGATCGCCAATAAACTATTTTACCAAGAATTTGTCTTTCTTGTTCCTTACTTTTGAGGAATCGAACGCCTCAATTTTATGTAATTAAATTAACCTCATTAGCGCATGTTTATTTCCCACGTGAACTAATTAAAAATTCTAAATTTAAGAAAGACAATACTATGCGTGTTCCTTTTCTTGGAGAAATGGTGGAGGTTTTTGCTCTTTCGGGAGTATAGTCGCCAGTCCATGTTTGCAAATTTATCATATTATGTTGTCGCGTTATGCAAATTATGTTCTTTCAATTGAAAACCATCGAGACCTCTTTCCTGTTTTGAACTGATTTGATTGAAAACTTCGGAACAACGATCGTCAAAAACAAAAGAAAAGAGACAGATGGCAAAAAGAACCAATCTTGGCCACTGAAAATACCTTATCCACCCTATGTACCAATTACTGTCACGAACTCTTGCTCAGCCTGATATGCAAATTTTGTGTTGCTTGGCAAGCAAGACGTAATTTGCATATAGTCTCAAAACGGTTCACGGTATATAATATAAATCTAATGTTTATTAAATCATGGTGTTTAGACCATGGCAAGTTACACAACAAATTGGAACTATGGCGGCTTTTTCTAGCGAAGCAGTTTTAACAAGCGAGTCAAGTGAATCATGACTGATTTCAACCCTGTTTGCGCGTGTTTGGGATCGCCAAATTAGGGAGCTTAAGCAACCACGACGAAAGGGACGACGACGACGTCAAATAATCGCGGAGGGTCTGGAACGAGGACGTCGTTTTTAGTGGGAAAATGAAACTTAAGCAGTGAAGTTGCTCAAGGACGACGACGTCTGAAATTTTTGTTTATTCTCGCTTCGTCAGTTTAAGAAATGACATCGTTCAGAGACCTCCAAAACCTTCTTCTCAGTCATGGATCAAATTTTCACCTATATCGGAAGTTTGAGAGTAGGTTATTCAATTCTTGAACATCAAAAGTCCAAGGAATTATTAAGCTTTAGCTTTATTTACAATAATTTACGCATGATAAAAGTTTAAAATAGAAATTTAACGGAAGTTATTCGAGATTTAAATTCAGTTCTAAGTGTTGCTGGTGTAAACAAACCTATTTTGCCCAAGGCTTGCCTGATTTTCAACGTGCTTTAGCTTGATGTTCTACCTTTGATGCTCCTTCCTTTGGCGAGCAAACGACGCAAGTCTGTCAATTTTAATCAATGCTAGCTAGCGATCGGCACAGATCAGTCGTCGCGCTTCAAACAAGAATACTATTTTTTCCCGTGTGATTTTGTCGGAATAATTTTTGTGGCTGTAAATCTAGATCGTTATCAATTATTTCGAAAATAGATTCGCAAAACCTGAGAGACACACTGATCTGAAGAATTCTTTGCTGTTTAAAGCGTCTCGACGGAAGAACAGCAACACGCACAATTTTTTAGTAGCAATAAACCGACAGTTCCATACACACTGCTTTTGACCGAACGCAGAGGTGTATTGCACTGCCATTTAAACCTTTTCATTCAATAAAAATGATAAACAGCACTCATAAAATATACTCAAATAAATTTAAACCTAACGTGGTCGCGTTCACCGCTTGACTTGACATCTGTTGTGCGGAGGAAGGAAAATGAGTTAGTGGGTTTTCGAATTTATTTGTTTAGAAAACTGAACAGGGAGGTTTTAATCAACCGAAGAAGCGAATACAAACTCCAACCGGCCATAGACTGTCAAAACAACGACACTAAAGCCGCACCTTTTGATGAGAAAAACTGCTTTGACGTTCGGAAGTTCGCGACGACGTGAAACTGGTCCATCTCAAGTCGTCGACGATAAGACGACGATGGAATTCTTGGTTCGGGCTTGCGCAGTGACGTTCTCGCTACTTCCGGTCGTCGTCCTCCGTTCGTCGTCGTGGTTGCTTAAACTCCCCTATTGTGCCCAAGTTGAAAACGGCTTCCATCATTTTTCTCAGGAATTAACAGATATTTCAAGGGAAAAATTGCATGGCATTCATACTTACTAAAGGCTATCTATATGCAAAAGACGAATGAATTTGATTTTTTTTCAGCTTTGCCGAAGATTTGCGATTTTGTTTGATGCTTGCACGGATCTGCTCTTAAATGTTATTCAAGCATAAGAAACTTGCCTCCCAGAAAATCAGTATGATAAGGTGTTGGTTTCTTTTCCCAAATAGTTAATGATGGAAAGTGGCTTATCACTTTGACTTGTAATCCATTTATAAAAGGGAGATCACCCATTGTACTTGTTTAAGGGATTTATGGTAGGCTTGCTAACTCTAAAAAAGTGCAAGTTTCATTTTGCTAGCAGCATCTATTTATAAATTTTTAAAGAAAGATCCAATAAAGAAAGATCAAGTCACATTTAGGAAAAAACGCTCATGCTGGGAGGAGCATGTTTTTCATAGCCATTGTCCAGCAGTTCACACCAGTTCTGCAAAACTTTGGTAATGGACGGAAGAGATAGCTTCAAGCCTTGCAAATCAGTGGAGGCATCAAGTGTAGTGTCCAGATGTCACATCTTTTGTTTACTTTTCTTCTCTAGGTTTGAGCTCAATAATGACAGAACTGAAAGTTACTTGCATGCCATTAACGAAAGATACTGCAGTTCACTTCAGATGGTAGTTGCTGTTTTGACAACAACCCGCAAAGATCGCTACGATGCCATAAAGAAGTGTTGTTGTTTGGAAAAACCAGGTAAATTTTGTTACTCTCCTCGGTCGAAATAGTTTTGAACTTGATCTATAAAACCGGTTTCAGTTGAAAAAGAAAGTGTTATGTTTCTCTGGGTTCATCGTATGTCGTTCGCATTTTATTTACTGTTGTGTCATTTGTCAACCTGACCAGGGATGTGGGTTACAACCTCTCTATATTAAGTTCTTACCATTTTCAGTATTTACCCTTGTAAGCCTCATTAATTGCACTTCGACCCTGTTATCCGCTAATTATTGTAAAAAGGGATGGATTTTTCTGTTCTGATTTTCAGCTCTATTCTTGTTATTTATTTCAGTTCCATCTCAGGTCATTGTCAGCCGAACCATCTCGAAGAAGCAGATGCTAATGAGTGTATGCACCAAAATTGGCATCCAGCTAAACTGTAAACTTGGCGGTGAAGCATGGGCCGTGGAAATTCCTGTATGTTAATTCTCTTTACATCCAAGATCAGATGTTCAATTTTCCCCTCTAACTGCTCAGTACTTCCTACTTTTAAATTTCGAGGTATACCAGACTTGCACCTACAGGATAACAGGGTTGTTACCTGGTATTAAATTTGTTTAAAAGGTGTGGAAGTGATGTAATGATGAAGTCTTGAAGAGTAGGAAGAAAAGTAAGGTGTCTGTCTAGTTCATCCCAAAGCCTTTTGTTTATAGCAAAAAAAAGTAATTTGGGATTAACCTTTCAAGCAGCACTAGTGGAAGTTCTATTCATATGGTCAGTGCTATATTTTCAGGGTAATGATTGTTAAATTTGGTCACTATCCATGTGCCAAATTATATTTCTAATTAGGCGTGGAAAATAGTTATTTGTGTTTCAATCACCAGATAGAACAATTAAGTTGATAAAAGTCACAATTGTTAAATTTTTGCTCTGAGGTGAAATACGAGATGTGGAAGTTTTGAGGATGTTACATTCCTTCTCATGAAAATTCTCCTTGGGTTGATAATATCATGATAGGAGAGACAGACCATTCATTTTGAGGACACAGTATTGAATATTTAGTTGCCAATCAACTTCCAGTTGTCTTGGTAACCAGCTGATCACAATTTCTGACACTACCTCATAGTTCTTCAAATTCCAATTCTTTCTTACTTTGGCAGAATATTGGGATTTCATATGTTACGAAATCCGTGTCTTAAGTCTGGTGAAAGAAAGTATGTTTTGGAAAAGTTCTGAACTGACGGATGCGTGTAAATCTAATCAGGGGTTTATCTGTCTTGATAATAATGATAAAGATAGTTTTAAGTAATAGAGAGCGTTTGGTAAGCCTTTTTTACTGATTTTGTTCTTATCTTTCCTAATGTTATTCTTTCTTGACATAATTTTTGTTAAATTTCAATTTCGTGAAGCAACTTTTTCCTTTTTAGTTGAAGAAGACTATGGTGATAGGAATTGACACTTACCATGACAGTTTGCAAAAAGGCCGCTCTGTTGGTGGATTCGTTGCAAGTACAAACCCAACCCTCACAAAGTGAGTATTGCCATTCTCCTTAGTTTTTTTTTCTTTTTTTAATTTATTCTTCTTTTTTTTTTTTTTAGCTTTGTTTTGGCGGGTGGGAGGTGACGGCTTCATTAATGACTTGCTGAAAACATCCATTTAGCAGTAAAAAAATTCTAAGTTTAGCCATTCAATTTTACTATTGGGGTAACATTATTTGATGAAAGTGAGGGTCATAGGGATTGGTCTCTTAGCCAATCGCTGTTAGACAAGCATTGGAGGGTTCCAGTTGTCAAGACTATTTATGGGGTCTTGTTTGGCTTGCCAACGAGACCATTCCTCTGACCCCTACTCAAGATGATGACTGACCTATTGCATCAATTGTTATTTGTTTTAAGGTATTATTCAAGGGTGACTTTCCAACATACGGGAATGGAGCTAATTGATGGTCTGAAGACTTCTATGACTGGTATTTCAAGTTGTATCTAAATTTACATATTTGTATTGTTTTTCACCAACAGCAGCATGAGATATCATTCCTGGACCGTATAATCCAAGTTCTTGAGCGGAACTCGGGGCCGTGTCGCATTTGGGCGAATTCAAACAATTTTCAAGTTTTAGCACTTTCCAAGATTTGGCGGCGGTCGCATACTTCACTTATTGATTCAATCACAAACCTACCGGCCTTAAATACTTGCGACAGAAGGAGACTTTTTCTTTGAAGTCAGCTGTTCTCCAAATTGCTCCCAGTATAATCGCACCCAGGTTACGAGCTTACAGACATTTGAGTAAGAGCGGCGCTCAAATTCACCGTTTCCTCGAAAGAACAAAGGTCAGTTCCTGCCATCGCTCGCCAAACTAGACCAGCGGATTAGCATGTTTTTTCCGATGAAATTTCATCCAGACATTTCTTGCCTGTCATGTCAGCCAAACGGTTAAAAAAGATGAGTGTTTGTTTTGCTAAAATTTGGAAGCCTGCAAGGTGAAAATTTTGCGATTTGCAGGTTATTCAAATTGGGGTTCGCACTTATTTTGCGCTACCTGTTGACAGATTTTTCGCTTAAAAACAAAACAAAACGCTCTAGTGCGATCTGGGCCTTAACCCAACTTTTAATCCGAAGAGTATTCAGAAACCTTAAATAGCCTTGAATCGCAGTTTTATTAATGAATTAAATTTCCTTTTACCTGCGGATGAAAATCAACTAAAGAAGAGGGTGTCTTGCTTGAGAGTCTTGAATCATGGAAACGGTGTGGAGTTGTAGCTTCACGAGATTCAAATGTTGGAATTAACTCTCGTCGAAAGTGTCTTATTAGTTGACGGTTACTCTCGTATTAAGGTTTCGAAAAGAAAAGAATTAATGGCTCGGAAGAAGGCTCCGACCGTCGATATTTTTTTCCTTTTTTTGTAATCTTGTTATGCCCCCAGGTACACCCCCTCTCCCCCCCGTAGTCTTGATAAAAGATGGGAAGAATGTGCCAGCTTGCCACATTCTCCAAAAAGCCTTTACCAGTGGCTTATGGATTCAAAAACCATCTCGAAATGATTTGTTTTGTAACTGGAGTTACCGGCTTTTGTTTTGGTTCCGTTTTAATTCACTTTTTGTTTGTGATATTTTTTACGGTAAATCAGAATTTCGATATTCTCTATCTTCTATTTCATAGCGGCTCTCAAGAAATATGGGGAATTGAATGGTGTCTTGCCAGATAGAATTATCGTCTACCGTGATGGTGTTGGCGATGGCCAGTTGAAAACTGTTGTGGGTCATGAAGTTCCACAGCTGAAAGCTTCCTTCCAGGATCTAGCATCGGGATACGCGTAAGAAGTTCGAAGTTTACTTTTGAGCGACAATTCACATTTTCTTCTTAGAGAAATTGGATTCACGCTGACTCTGGGGTCTGGAAGTTCTTAAAATTTGATTTCAGTTCAACTTCAGTTTTGCTCTTTAACAAAGGCAACGTGAAATTGTTTGATTTATGATATGGTAAAAGTTCACTTGTGAAAAATTACTTTTGTTGTATTTTTTTGCAATAGCTGACAACAAACCAGATACTCGTTTTTGGTAGAGGGTATAACTTGGATATATCAACAAAGTTGAAGTGGTAAATTGGCCACCGTAACGATTACAAAAGCTGACGTTTCGAGCGTTAGCCCTTCTCGGAGCGAATAGAGGAATTGCGGGTTGTGTGTGCTTTTAAAGGCAGAGAATGGAGCTACGTTATTGGTGGGAACATGGCAACGAGAAAAACGAGAATGTGGAAATCAATGACAAGGACACATCGAAACCACTCGCTAGACATTTTAATTTGGATATATCAACAAAGTTGAAATGGTAAATTGGCCACCGTAACGATTACAAAAGCTGACGTTTCGAGCGTTAGCCCTTCTCGGAGCGAATAGAGGAATTGCGGGTTGTGTGTGCTTTTAAAGGCAGAGAATGGAGCTACGTTATTGGTGGGAACATGGCAACGAGAAAAACAAGAATAAATCAGTGGAATGAAAAGCGTTCGTTGATCCCTGTGGGATTTAGACTGCCGGTTTGAAAGATATGTCAATGTGCCAGTTTTTCGCTAAACGTGGTTACCCTGTTTCTGTCGTTCAAGCGGGTTACCACCGCGCCCAACTTATTGATCGACATTCAGCACTACAAACGTCGCATAAGGAAGATTCCGACCGCATTCCATTCACTCTCACGTTTCACCCTCACAACCACTCAGTTAAATCCATCATTCTTAAAAACTTTAAATTACTTCAAAACGATCCAGAGACAAGCACTATCTTTTCGCAGCCTCCGCTCATTTCATTCAAACGCGACAAAAACATAGGCAATTTTTTGGTCAGAAGTTCTTTCCAGGCCCTTTTAAATGCGCTCGTGCAAGATGCAAAACGTGTCCTTTCATTCACAACACTGATAAAATATCGG